AAATAACAAATTTGATTGAAAATTCACAGGAACAATCTAGCATGAAATCAATAATGCAGATAAGCGTTGTAAGCGTTGGAAGTTATGACCGAATATTGAGAAATGTAGTTGATTTCGTTTTAGAGTCAGGTTTACCAAAATAAATCCCACTCTCACCAGGAATGTACTGCCTGAACTCAAATCGTTTACTGATCTAGGAGTGCATTTCTCGCACAGCCTGAATTACTCTAAACACTTTTTCAACAAAGTATCCCAACTGAAAAAAATGGTACGCTCAATATTTCGTACCTTCCTTCATAGATAATGCGAAAAATTTCCGTGCGAAACATGCGTAATTACTATTGCTGATTAATGGTCATTTGTATATTCAATCTTACTTCTCTACTATATACTGAAGGTTGAAAGAATACGAACGAAATTTATTATTAAAATTCTTACTCATTGACTATCTCACCCGATGTCATCAACTTAGACTTGAAATATTGTTAAAAGAAGGTTTAAGTCTAATCTTATGCTTTACTTCAAGCTGCGGACCAACCTTGCAAACAGCTCTTGTGGTATAGTCCTTATCCCCCAAGATGAAATATTTACTGTCAAACTTGGGGAGTATAAATCTAACTAAAACTCGAGAAAACGTCTTCCTCACTAGGTATGCACTGATATGAAACAGCTTTCTGTGGAAACTACTCAAGACAGGTGGAACACATGCATTTGTAAAGCTTCTTAATAAAGTCCTTGGTTGGAATGATTCCTGCACACGTTAACTCACTCGCAACCTGCTTCCATATTATTACCTCTCTACATGGTTATACTTTATTGAATGCAGGTTTGAATTTTATTTTTTAACTTTTCCCGATGCAGTTGTAGCTGTATTAAATTCTTCTGGTTGGCTACAAATCTCCTTAATTCTTATTTGAAATAGATTAATCACTGAGTTGATCGATATTGTTCAGCTGTAGCCGGTTGATAAGAACACACTCTATTACCCTCAAGAGTCGTCAGTGAAACATCATCATTTGCTGCTTAACTGTTAGTGATCAAGCATCCACAGCCTCGAAAGCATACAGTCGGTTTGGATTGAACAAAACTTGATCAACACCGACAATTTTTCTAGTTTCTTGTTTCCTATCACCAGTTTCACTATTTTCACGTGCACTATACTGACTTACATTTGCCTACTCCTCATTGTCTATTGCCACATTAATAAAAATAATACTCCAACACTATTCCGCTTACTTTACCAAACATCTTTCCATCACTACATCCTCAATACTTATAGTTTGTTTGAAAACCTGTACTGTTCCACATAACAGTTAATTGTATTGCTAGACAAATTTGTATAAAAGGACCTACGGGAGTAGTGCTTCCCAACAAAATGTGAAATATAGGGCCATGAGTATAACATAATATATTATCTTACAGTCATTTGAAATGAGCCTAGGGATACAAAATGAGGGAGGGTGTGGTTAATAACGAGCAAATGTTGGTGCTGAGGGCGGTGATATTTCACAAACTGTACTATTCTTCCTGAACTTCCAACTTCAATGCACAAACATCCAGCTTCTCACTTCAACTTCTCTTCTATGCACCTTGATACACATCAAAACCTATTATTCATTATTGCTGTAATGGTAAGTTAGGCTATATTACTAAAATTTATTTGAATTTTAGTGGTTTGTATGAATTTTGTTTTCTTACTTACCATTACCTCTTCTACTCCGTCATATACGGTTAAGCAATGACGGCCTTGTTGCTCTTTCTTTTGATCTATCCTTTCCGTCCTGCGAACCCTATAGGTAGTAGCACAACCATGACACCGCTACGCGAAATTCACTTTACGTGCGTGCTCTTCAGAGTTATGGCTTATACCAAGCACCTCCTAATCAAAACTTACACACAAACTTACTTCCGAATTATGCACAGCACCTAAGAAGTCTGCTTTGAACCTACCGTAATTGTAATCGCTTGTTCAAAATGTGGCTGTACTAAATTGTTTCTGTCGGTGACATTGCGTAAACTTACTGGCAGAAAGAAACTTGTTAATAATTTAACTGAGCAACCTTTTACAGAAAATGTGGTAGCAATTGTAACACTTTGATCTTGCCTGTAAAATGATATACCTCATCTAACACAATCTTATTTGAGAATAGTTACCAATATTATTAAAGCGCCAGACTGAATGCAATTGTTTCAATGCATAACTGATCACATAATCAATAAAATCTCTTCTACACTCAATTTCACTGATCTTGGTATTAGCCCAGTTAATAATCAACAAACTATACACTTATATGTTCACTTTGATTTAACGAGTACTATTCCCACTCAGTTTTCAGTTATGACCTATAAGTGAAGTAGGAGAGGAATATTGTAAACCTCTAAGCTAACAAGAAGGTCGAAATAAGTAAAATCTATACTTGGAGAAGCTGTAACTGGAAGTCATATCTTCATCGTATGACCTGTGAAATTCTAGTCCTTAAATATAGCTGTCACTAAATTATACACTGAATGATAACCTTTCCATCTCACTTGGTACGCCGACGGTTATACCGTTAGATATAAGAAGTACTATACCAATATATACAGAAATTTCGACACGGCATAAGTATCAATATAAACGTTTATGAACAAAATTTAAAATTTCACGGGTAAAGGGGTCGAAAGACTGAACCAATAATATTATTTACAATGACAGCGATACTGGACAACTACAAGACTCACTTGCTGAAATCAACGATGAACTAAGTCGGTCAACACCCCTCCCAAGCACATTTTGGCCTTAAATAATGATAAAAACCTCAAAGAACACAAGAAATCTGAATGAAACTAGGTTTTTTAGCTAAAAAATAACGAAGTGAGAGAATTCGTTTTACAACGCCGTTGCATGTAATCTGACCAACTGCACATTCCCACTAAGCCAAGGAAAAACCTCCTCCAATCATGCTATATGCTAAACGTCGGTTGCCAAATCATCTACCTGTAGTATTTAGAAGTATATGTATCAAGAATTAAAGATATGCACAAACGAATGTATTGTATTTCGAATTCGAAATCAAGCATTTCACAACAACAAGAAGTTACTAGTTCATTCAAACACCACATCCGCCACCGCTTAAATTGGAATGTATATGTCTGTAATCAGTTGTATGTCTTCTTCTCAAATTCATCCTGTGTCTGTCCGACAGTGTATTGGATAAAGACTCTGTATTATCTAGAATGCTCTCATTAGTATTAGAATTAACAACCGAAATTGGAACAGACTCACCTGGCTCTTGGAATTGTATTTGATCAACATGTCGATTGTGTGTACTTAAGTCATTGATATCTAGAAGTCGCACCATAGATTTCTCGACATTCTTCTGAACGATCCCCGTGGATGGTCGAAGATAATTGCCACGATAATATGTAACTTCTGCAGACTCCAAACATCTCATATTCGACCGAAGAATTCTTCCTTTTAATAGTTTTGATGGAGTCTCTTTCGTCACCGAATGTCTGGCATTTCTATATTGCAGTAGAAAGGTATCTACTCCCCTCTCCAGCTCATTAAATGTTGTGGCGACAATAGAATCACTCAACCTCGAATGCTGATTTTTCAGCTTATGACACTTTACACAATTGTTTGCTGTACGACAAATATCTGCATTTATCTCTGGCCACCAACACGTGAGCCTCGCCAAGGACTTCATTTTCTCAACACCTAAATGTCCACTATGAAGATCTTCCAGGACAGCTTTACGCAATGAGGGAGGAATAACAACCCGATCATTTAAACACAAAATACCATCAGGAGTAGTGGATAGCTCATCTCGCTTTGAAAAATAGATAGGGAACCTGCGTTTCAGATTAGCATTCCAACCTTTCCGTATAGCATGAATTATACATCCAAAGTTTCTACGAGTTTCTCTAATGAGATCTGGACGTTTCACTGGTAAAGGTTGCACCAACAAACAGTCTGAAGTATTAACAGGTTTATCTTGTAATGACTGTCGAGAAATGTAGTTAACATGTTGAATTTGTTTGGCACTCCTGTGCTGAACCGTTTTCATACTTCCATTGCACTTAGCACACGTGGCTATCGAATCTTCAGGTAAAGCATCAGAATTTTCTTTAGAAAATAGGAAAGACAACTCCACTTTAAGTCTTTTCAAATTCTTTAAACCCAGTATTGACATTCCTGTTTCACTAACTAAAAATTCACAAGATATGTATGAGGAATTATCATCTCTTATTAGCAATTCACAACATCCTCGTATAGGCAGTCTGTGTCCAGTAATCCCCATTATTGATACTTCAGTGGGTCGAACCACAACGTTCGGATCTAACGATTTCAAGTTCTTGAATGAAATAATGGACTCTATACTGCCTGTGTCCACAATAAAGTCATGACATGAACCAAGCGATGTATATAGTCGCTTTTGAATATGAGCATTACCTTTCGAAATGGTAGTTAAAGATAAATGATCATTAGGATCAACTGAATTATTGGAATGTAAATTACAAGCTTTAGTACTACTTGAGGCAAAATGAACAGTAGCTTTGCATACTGCTTGAATGTGTCCTATCTTACCACATCTAAAACATTTAGCATTACGAAATGGACAATAATAACGAGAATGAAGTTTTCCACATGATAAACATTTGCCAAACTTGGTCTCACCTTTTTGATTTCCTTTGTAATTCTTTTTTGAGACACCGTTCATTTTTACACGAGAATAGGAACCTCTGTTAAACGAACACAATTTTGATTGACCCTGAGATTGCTTTTCATCATGACAACTAATCGAAGTATTGGAAATCTTCATCGACTGAATATCAAGTTCATTCAACGCCTCGTAGTTAATGCACGCAGTTCTAACATCTTGAATGGAACAGTTTGACATTCTTAACAGCTCTCTTTCCAAACTAGGTATGTTAATTCCTGCAATTAATCGGTCTCTCAGCTGCACATGAAGTTGATCACCGAAATTACATTTGACAGCCTGTTTCTGCAATTCAAGAATGAATTCCTTAACATTTTGGTCATTTTGACGAATCATCTTATGAAATTTCGCTCTTTCACGGCACTCAAAACCAGGGCACTTTACATGATTCAATAATAACTCCTTTAGCATTGCATAGGGAAGTGAAATAGGTTTTTCTGGATATGCCAAAGTTTTTAATAAGCTGTACGCTTCTTTTCCGATGAATGTTAGGAAATGAGCCACAATTTTATCATCTTTGACATCTTTCCTGGTCATACTCCAGATTTCAAACCTTTCCAAATAATCTTCAAAAGCTTCAGAAGTAGAATGAATATCTAGCTGTTCCATTACAGATCCTGCTCGCGACGCCACTGTGATGCTTAGAAGTATATGAATCAAGAATTAAATATCTGCACAAACGAATGTATTGTATTTAGAATTCGAAATCAAGCATTTCACAACAACAAGAAGTTACTAGTTCATTCAAACACCACACTACCGCACAAAGATATTAAGTGAATCAACCCGCCTCCTTTTTTTCACATTTAGCTACTGTAGCAACGCTAAAAAACTTATTTGTCCGACAAAAAATGATAGAACATTTGTCACTTATGGGAACACAAAGGTTACTCCTTATCTAACAACTCGCCAACATCGTATAAAAAGACGAGGAGAAACAAGATCGCATGGTTGTGCTAAAGCGAATAACCAGCTAAAGACAACATCAAACGCTTAAATGATATTAAACACATCGATCACTAACAAGGTACAAATATGCACATTACAAATCGCCCTGTAGATCTATAGATTCATCAACCCGAAGTAAAATATGAACTCCAGCTGACACTCAGTATTATAACGACATCTATACTTCTAATCATGGCTGGTGAAACAGTAAATTACTTGAATACGAGCCACACGACATTATAGAACCAGATGAATTTAATCTATGCAACATCAGCTCCTCCCAATATGTCATACGAGATGACCCGATCAAAGTTGAATTCATCTGACGGAACACATGCGAGACATAAAGACACTCCCCAGCCATAGCAAGTATGAGAGTACTAACTAAATCTCCTATCCTGACTCATTATTATATGGACTCCAAAAAAACCTAAAGTACAACGACTCCATCTATTCATCAAGGTCAATAACTATAGGACCGGTTTGGGACACTGCATGCAATCGATATATATTAATTAGTAACAATTGACACGCCAAAACTAATTGAAAATGTGTTTAGAGTAATTCAGGCTGTGCGAGAAATGCACTCCTAGATCAGTAAACGATTTGAGTTCAGGCAGTACATTCCTGATGAGAGTGGGATTTATTTTGGTAAACCTGACTCTAAAACGAAATCAACTACATTTCTCAATATTCGGTCATAACTTCCTACGCTTACAACGCTTATCTGCATTATTGATTTCATGCTAGATTGTTCCTGTGAATTTTCAATCAAATTTGTTATTTATATAGATCAATTTTAGGTCATTATCTTTTATATTGTATTTGAGAATGTAAGTCTAAAAATGAACGATATAACAAGTACCCATACCACGTGGAAAATCATAATCACCTTCAGAGTTTGCGCTAAGCGCACATCTAAAAATTTGATCATGTCCAATACCCAATATCCTTTTCACGAGCTAGTACAAACCAATTGATTTCTTTGTGCTCGATTCTTGTTCTTTAGGTACGGTTCAAGGTGTTTGTTAGTGTCCAATGGATGGGCGTCTAGCCATTCGACTGCCTAATTCTAGTGAGTTGGCAGTGGTTTATGAGTTTGTAAGTCGTGTGGTTTGAATGATTACGTTTGTCTCAGGGCAGTAAGGTTTCTGGATACCAGCAGCCGTCATATTAGTTATAATGTCGAGAGGGGTAGGGAGAAAATTTTAATGCTAATAAGAATAAGATTTCAGGACTAAGTAAATAAATGGATAATTTAGTTTATCAATTGATAGTAAAGATTGTGCAAAAGGACTGAAGTGTAGGCAAGGAAAAGTAAACACAGATAACAAGCGAGATAGATCAAATTAGCAATCTCAGGAGATGAAAATAACAACATCTAGCAGGTCTGAAAATATGCACCAGACACAGCTGGTCCACGAGGGATATAATAATCCGTATATGAGTAGGTGTTTATCAAGTCCCATTCGAAGTTAATGAGAAATAGTGTGTACCAACCTGGGTGTTTGTTCCTTGATGCGCAATTTTCTGAGGACCACTTCGAGGTGCGTGATGGTGATACATCGGGAATGTGCTGACTTTTTGATCGTGATAGTAAGTCTAATGGAAATGAAAATCACACTAAGTAAAAGGCATGTGAGTACCGTATGTGTACGAATAGGTTACAGTCTGAGAGATATAGTAGAGTATACGTTTTCTTGGGGATATGTTAGGAAAGATCAGAAGAGTCAACATGTTTGGTAACTACTTTAAAATCATTGATATTTGTACACTCGACTACGTTTCGCACCTTAATGTTATAAACGAAGCAATAATTGTGATCAGTTGCATCCTCGTGAATAAGTTATTGACTACAAATTTAAGATTTGATCAATCTGCAGCTACCCAGGTTAGTGTAGGACCGGCGAAATGCTCCTGGATACTAGTCAAATCAACAAGTCAATAAATGTCAAGCAGTCTGTTAAACCTCGTTGAGGTCAAGAAATATCAAGGCGCATCGATCGATTTCATGTAAATGACAGGCTCACGAGCCGTAAAACTAATAGCGCTCTAATGGTCACGTATTCCACCTTTTACTGCCACCCTCCTAGAAACAAGAATAACCTATAGGATAATATATGGAATGAGACGGAGGATTTATTCTCATGTTATATTTGTTCGTGTATATAAATAGGAGCAGCATTTCAGGCCGCCAATAATTGAATATCTGTCATAATGATGTATAGAAGTAACGGAATTCCCTACGTCAACTGGTAATACCAAGTTACTTTTCTGGTAGTCATGTATATACCACCTTTGAAGTAAGCGAGTGGCAGTATTCACAGTCGAAAGTATGAAGGAATCTCAGTTGTACGCAGACAGTAAAATCAACATGACCCAAGAGAACTGCTAGGTTTTTTAAATTAGTCGCAAGACTTTTAGAAATTCGATTCTTCCGCGCTAATTAAAATCCTTCGAAATAAACGTAAACGCTCTGAAGCGATGGGCGGGAGCCCATTTCTTAAGGACAACAAAGTGTACAGAGGTCCTAATCGAGACACAGAGCTATTTAGCGAATAGAATTTTGCCTCCATAGAGAACGAAAACCTACGAAATGAATCGAAGATGACCACAAGACCTTCTATTTTATCTGGACCATCAATGGACTTTGCTCTGTGGATCAAAAAGCCTAATGAAAAAGTGAGATATTCTAAATTTCTGGACACAGAATAATCTATTCTGAACTTTGATAAAAGCTAAATGATATGGGAAAGCTTCATTGCTAGGTTAGATTTTGTTTAACGTTTTTACCTGTATTTTTATACTACTTGCTAATATTCAGTAGGCAGTTTTATTCGTAACAATTTCCAAGAGTATGATACTATGTACATTTATTTGTTGTATGATATCCTAAAGTATTCACATAATTTTACAACACCCATTATGCTTATCACTTTGGTTCTTTTCTCGCAACATTGACGCCAGTTATTCCTACCTTTCTGCATCTCTTGGATCATTGTTTAAATTTGTCATTTTCCACCTTACTCGACCACCTTGCTCCTAGTTCCTGTTCTGGTTGTTTGTAAACCGTCGATGATTTCAGAGAGAGAGAGAGAGAGAGCATACATTCCTGATTTCTAACAGCTTACTCTCTAGTCCTCTTACGTTGCTCTAGAGGCACTTGGTAGTATTTCTCAACACCTGGTGCACCTCTGCAGCAACAGCCGTTGTCGGAATTTCAAACAAGTTTTTCAAACGGAGTTGTCCAGTTCTGTGGGAACTGGCGTCTGCAGGCATTTTGCCTGTACAGTCAGTTCAATCAGATGGGCTTTTATCTTCATATCTGATGCCAGGGGTTGTTGATCGATGTCAACTGTCAACTTCGTGCGTTGATTATAGCCTACTTGCTGTTGTCTCACAGATCTGGGTCGACTTTCGCAACACCTAATGTAGTTAGACAGGTCGTTCTTCGACTTATAACAAGTCTGCAGAGTCTCAGTTTGGTCTTCCAGATTCATGAATTCCACAGCCATCAGACGTGGAGACTTATTTGCCCAAAGATGTGGCGGGCGAGGCAGCCCAGAATTGCGAATAGCCATCGTAGTGTGAAGGCACGTGCTACGTGAAAACCATGGCCACTGTTGCACATCATGCACGTGAGCTTCGTTCATGCTATATGCTAAACGTCGGTTGCCAAATCATCTACCGCACAAAGATATCAAGTGAATCAACCCGCCTTCTTTTGTTCACATTTAGCTACTGTAGCGACGCTAAAAAACATATTTGTTCGACACTTATGGGAACACAAAGGTTACTCCTTATCTAATCGCCAACACCGTAGAAAAAGACGAGGAGAAACAAGATCGCATGGTTGTGCCAAAGCGGATAACCAGCTTAAGACAACATCGAATTAGTTTGGCCGCGGTACTGCTCACTCGAGTCATAATGTAGTATTTGTTTCACTGTTATTTCCAAAGGCAGCCCTTCTTTATTGTAAGCTGCCCTGCGACTCTGAAACGTCCCCGCCTCTCATTCGTAGCGTTTTTCAAACCATGATGTAGACAATTTACGCACTTACGCTCACAAACTGCTCCTTGTTGTTTGCAGATGTGGGGAGGGGTTTTACAACAACCGATAGTCCCGTTGATGTATTGATTCAGGTTTCGGTTACCTTTGTTGCCTGTTTGGTCGGTTTTGTGTTAGGCGATTTCTGTTTACTCAGGGAAGCTCGTGTGTTTAGTTTGTGTGAAGCCTGTGGCTTTTTAGCTACTTTAACTTATACTCCCATATATAGCTAAGATCATAATCTTCTACAGAACCATGTGGGTTATCTAGAAATTTTATCAAGCTAATTTTCGCGGTAATTAATATTCCCTTTATTCTAATTTGTTTTGTTATTGTTGTTTTAGTAACATATCAAAAGCTCTAGTGAATGCTGAGGAGCCACAGAATATCTTCTAGAAAAGTTATCTAGTCAGCATTGGAAACAACCTTCACGAACATCCCAGAACCTCGGGGTCATTTGTAACTCTATAAATTTTCTAATTTTTCGGTGCACTAAACTAACTTTGGGATAAGCATTCATCTTTTTCATCGCTGTTTTACCCTTGTATTCAAACAGCAATGTAGATTTATTCTTGGATTATTGGAAGCAGATAAGTGTTCAGACCTGGTGTTCACTTAGTAGACTTATCAGTGATGATGATTAGAATTACACTGAACAATACTTCAAAAAAATTTGCAACTCATATGCCA